CGGTAACAGTATATTCATTGATTAATCATCAATTTATATAATTTTTAATTTACTTTTAGGGAAAAGTAAACGTCCTTGTTGCTTCAGAAATATTACTACATCGAAATTACCTGTTACCTGGCTATCAAATCGAACTGCTTGGATGACCTCTAACTTATTTACTGATTGGCTCATCACTATTAATAATCAAATGAAAAAAAAAAAACGGAAAAATCTTCTCTTTCTCGACAATGCTCCATGCCACGTGATTAATCAAGATTTATCGAATATTAAACTTGTCTTCTTTCCTCCAAACACCACATCCAAGTGTCAACCACTCGATCACGGTGTAATCCACTCATTTAAATGTTTTTATCGACAAAAATTAGTGAAACATATAATTGCTCAATGTACTCTGGCTCAAACTGCTGCTCAAATATCAATTACTGTCTTAGATGCAATTAAATGGATAGAAATCTCATGGAAAAATGTTACAGAAAAGACAATTAAAAATGGTTTTCGTGCTGCTGGTTTCACACATTCTTCTTCTACATCTTCGTCGTGTGCGATAGATATGGATATTGATGTCGAAGCTGATATAGAATTAAACAATTCTGATAATCTTCTACAACAGCTTGATTCATTATTGACTCATCTTCAAATTGGTGGTCCACAGTTAACAGCTGCCGAATTTGTTAACATTGATTCCTGTATTCCAACGTTTAATGAATGGGACGACTATGAACATCTGGAAACTTACATCCAAGTTACACAAGATGATAACGAAGACGAGGAAGAAGAAGAAGTTTTAGTAGAACAACCGCCAAATTTATCCGAAGTACTCAAAATGATAAGAAAACTTCATTTTTTTGCTTCTATCGAACAACCTCAATTACACAATCTTATATCTGATTTAGAATCACAATTAACTGATATTTATCTTGATTCAAAAGCGGTTAAACAAAGTTCTATTATAGACTATTTTTCTTATTGCTGATGTTTTTTTCTATTCCTGTTGNTTATATTATTCATAGTACTGCACGCATTCAAAAGGCTGTATTGCATCACAAAACTTGAAAAAAGACTTAACCTCTCTAAAGTGGACACTTCTGTATAGTGGACAGTTTTGGGAAGTCCAGAAGGTGTCCACTATACAGAGGTTCCACTGTAATATGTGAACGGCCCCTTATATGTAAGAGATTTTACACGATCGACGTACGTAGTCAAAAAGCTACTTATAAACATACTTTTCATGATAAGAGTTGTCTCAAAAAGCGCTCATTAATCTAGTAATCTTTCCTTTAATCTGTTAAAAGAATTCTGGTACATGAGAACTATTTTCTTCTTATAATTCACTTACTTCTTGATCGAAATTGGACTGATAATCCATCTGTGCAATCAAATTCATAATATCAGCTTCGAAATCTTGGTCTGTTTGCAGTCCACCAGTGAAGCGCTATCCCATTGGAACTTTTAAATACTTTCGAATTAATGCAAAGTAATTTCGAGATTCAAAGGAATTTGAACAAATTTGAAAGGAGATTAGTTCACATTAATTTAAAAAACTTTTTGGCGTTCAAAATTAATGCGCACCAATTTAAATCTTTGAATAAATGAAAAAAAAAATAGAAAAATATACTTCAAATTAATGCGCATTAATCTGATTCATTTTCTCGTGAAAAAATTAATGTCCCTCGTTACCGCATTATACAAAGTCTCATATTAAATTAATGTACACGAATTTCGAGCTTTCGAATTAGTGTACATTAATCCGAAAACTCTACACTAATTTGAA